ATATATATATATGTGTGTGTGTGTGTGTGTGTGTATGTATGTGTGTGTGACTGTGTCTGTGTATGTCTGTGTATACGTTGTGTCTTTGTGGATGTGTATATGGTTATGTCTGTGATATTGTGTGTAAATGGTTTGTCTGCGTGTGTGCCATGTGGTGTGCATTATATGGTGTGTCTTTTTATCCGTGTTTATATGATGCGTCTGAGTGGATGTGTGTATATGGAGTGTCTCTGTGTCCATTATTTTGGAACTCCCTTCTGCAATGGCATTGTGCACAAAGGGCGTCGCGTGTTTTACAAGTTTACAAGGCAAATGTCAAGACAAATAATTTATTAACTGATTGTTTTGGGGTTTTTTGTTGGAGGATGCTAATGGCAGGTTGTTGGCGGGTGCTCTGGTGTTGTTTGCCTCTTCTTTCCTATCAAACATATTGTCCTTATCTTCCCTCCTTCTTTTGTATGTTTGTTGCTCTCTTGTAACACCTCTAATCTTCTGATGGCGCTTAAATGACCAAAATTGTGTCGATAGTGCCGTAAAACATCTACCCAATCAATCAATCTAATCTTCTGGCGCTCATATGACCTTATGCAGTTTGGAGCACCATAAAACCTCTACTAAAACAAAACTACATTTTTACTTTCGCTCTATTGTTTCTGCCTGTCTGTCTTACTTTTCCCCAGCATAAATAATTGACCATTATTATGTCGATGTGTTTCTCTTTACTCAAACAAATAAACGAATTTTTTGGTCCAAATCTAGAAACCAGGACACAACCATTGCGAAAAAATTAGCCCTTATTGTGATAACGGATTTCCTGTGCTGGTTTCCGATCGGAGTTATGGGTCTCCTGTCTAAGGCTGAGGTTCCAATCCCGGGAGAAGTTAATGTAGTCTCGACGATCTTCATCATCCCTCTCAACTCCGCCTTCAACCCGTACCTCTACACTGTACCCGCCGTAATGAAGAAACTGGAGCAGTGGCGAGCACGACTGCACCGGAGCAAATGAGCTTCTGCTGCAAGGTTAAAGCCTACACCCATAGAACTGCCACGCAGAGAGGTGCCCATCGAATCAAAGCAGTGTAAGGCTGGCAGCTGTGAGAGCTCTATGTCTGCTTGTGGCGCTGCTGACGTCAAGTCCAAGATTTGTCCAGACAATCTCCGAGCCTGGCTAGAGAATGGGAAGATCACGAAAGCCACTGTGGGAGACATCTTGTCTCGCTTTGAGATGAACGAGTCTACGTCAAATTAGTTTACCCCTTATAATATCCCTAATATGTCACAGTAGTCTGTCTCCGCCTATTGATGTATCGCAAACTCAATATGGGCGGTGAAACCACTCCGCGCGTGGTCTCGTTCAGACTTGAAACTGTTCTCGGACGGAAAATCTGGTCCAAGAAACGCTCGGATCCACTCGGAGAGAGAGAGAGAGAGAGAGAGAGAGAGAGAGAGAGAGAGAGAGAGAGAGACTTTCAATTTTGTATACTCGCGTAAATATAAGGATACATCAACTTTTCAACAGCTGCAGTGATCATGTGTAGATTCTATGTATGATATTGATTTATAAAAATATGCAATATAATACAAGGTCCTCCTTTCTGTCTGAGGAGAAATGGGAAATTTTAGTGTTGCCCTGTATGCTTTCTGCTTGACCGAAAGCCGAACCATCTCCGTTTTGAAAACGGACGGGGAACGTATCTCAGTATAACGCCGACATTGAAACAAAGAGCCGGTCTCTTTCTCTTAGGTGACTTCCGGTGGGTTCAGCACTTGGAAGCGAAAAAGCGAAACTGAAATAGGACCCATTGTGTTTCCACGATAAGACAGGTAACCGTCATTCACCGAGCCGTTATAATTTTACAAAACACAATGGGAAGTTGCCACTTGCACAGGTGATTGTCATGTACAGATAGACGTTAGAGAAGGTTCGACTGTATTTTAGATTATATTGCAGTAGGAAGAAGTGAGGTAACCACTATTGAAAAGATACAACAATCAACCTTTTGAAATATTGAAAAACAAACTGGTTTATTTGGTAAAAGAATGATAAGAAAAAAACACCAAAACGACAAAAGTATATAGTATCAGACTCATTAAGAGTTGTCATTTTTACCTAATTAAACTTTGTAAAAGTCTTCCAACATTGATCGAAGTATTCTCTCTAGCATGCCAAGAGCGAAATGATTATTAACGAATTTCGCTTTGTGAATGTTTCAACTTCAAAAAACAAAGTTATGTCAGGAAATATTAGAAACCTGAAAGTTTGTTCGCTATGTGGGTGTTTCACTGTGGGCATGTTTCGCAATGTGCGTGTCCACTATGCGTGTATTACGCTAAGTGCATGTTTCACATTGTGAGGGTTTTATAACGTGCGTGCGCGTTTCATACTGCGCGTGTTTGGCTGTGTTTGTGTTTCACAATAATATGCGTGTTCGGCTATGTGCGTATTTGGCTAGTTGCGAGTTTCACGTCGCACGTTGTGTGTTTTTCGCTTTGTGTGTGTTTCCCAATGCCCTGCATTCCTACGATAGTGCGACTACGTGACGGGTCGAGTTTCCATCCAAGTTTTGATTCCTTCCACGGCGCCAACTTTGTCCACGAGAGCTTTGATCAGTGGGAAATTTTCCAACCCACAGATTCTGTTGTCCACCACTCCAGTGACCATGTCAAAGACAACCAGGTCAGCCAGGGTCAACTGTGGAAGAGTTCAAGGAGGAGTTTCATAATATATTATGCGGAAAATGTTTTTGTTGCTAGCTTAAGGACACTTGTGTTTGTGCTCCTTGGTATCAGTGTGTGTTTGTGTGTGTGTTTGTGTGTGTGTGAGTGTGTGTGTGTGTGTGTGTTTGTGTGTGTGTGTGTGTGAGTGTGTGTGTGTGT